ATATAACACGTTCACTTAATGTTATATTTGTTTATTTATTGTTTCAAACCTTTAGGACAGATAATTTTTTCTTTCTGTACGATTTTGTTATTTTCAAGGGACTTTGTCCAAGGATAAATTTACTTTCTATCTATCTATTAAGTAGAGCTTATTTCAAGTCGCATCAATTAACTAACTCAGTGGGAAAACTTGTTGGTTGAGACTTCCTTACGAAGAAATGAACACAAAATTCATGAGTTGTAGTGGAACAGAGGTTGAAATTTCAAAAATCCCGTTCACTACCTATTTTTTTTTTGGAGAGGAGGGAAGGGAATTATTGGATAAAAGGGATATTGCCAATGGCTTCTTGGATGTTCCAAGAACAGAGGGACCACAAGAGTAGAAAGCCAGGATGTGGAGTATGGGAGCCTTCGTACGTGTCCCTCACTACGTGCAGGACCCTATCATCCCCGTAATATAAAATCCCACTTCAAATTCACACGCGCTCCCCATTAACATTTAAATAATAATTGTGGAACGTTTAGGATTTCTCGCAGCGTTCTTTAATTATTTAGAGAAAAAAAATGCATATATAACTTCCTTTGTGATCAACTATATTTACTTTATTTGTAACACATCCACGTTAACGTATGGGCATACTTTCCCATCATTAGAACCATATAGAGTTTTATCAGAGTCTTCTTTACGACGAAAGGATCAATATTAATACATCCTAACCCTATTATAAATTAATATTGGTTAAAGTTGAATTCATCTTTATTTTTTTTTTTTTTGTAGGTTTTCAGTTTTTTGGAAATTCCTCCTATTTACATTTGTTGACAGTTTTGGCATTCTAATTTCTTTATTAAATTTTGTTTTCACTGATGCATCTATTTTGTCCTTCATGTTGCTCAGGTGTTTACATAACTTAATATCACCATAGTCCGTGGTACAGACCTCTTTTTGTCAAATTATTAACATCCGGCTGAAATTTTTTGGAATTGGGGCGTTTTCAATCTTAAGGTCGGCAAATTTGGTCTATTTAATTAGTTACTAAAAACTCGCCATTTGACATGGTTATATAGGCCAAACGGTCCAATATTTTTGTAGGCCACCATTTTCCATTTTTGCAGGTCCAACTTTCGATTAAAGTGGAAAGCAAATAGGTATTTACGAGTTTTTAATAAATAGACAAAGTTTGCCGACCTCCAGGTTGAAAATGCCCCAATTCCGAGAATTTTCGTAAATATAGGATTTGTAGGTTACGATGAGATGAAACTATTTACGAATTTTCAGCGGGATGTTAATAATTCGATAAAAAGGGATTTGTACCACGGACTATTATTGTATAGACTTAGTTCAATCTCAGTTGGTCAGATTTTTTAAAAATATTTCCTTGATGTTATTTGCTGGTCTCTGCATTTGAGTCATTTTGTGGAATGTGCCTTTCTGTATTCTGTTGTTATTGTATATTCTCCTATGAAAAATTGTGTAGTAAATTTTTGTTTCTTTGTAAATTCTTCATCTGCTTTTTTGAGTGTATCACTTTTTTTATTTTCTTCCACATTTAACGTTTTGATTTCAATACTTATCCACAAAAGAAATAAACAGTTAAATATAACTCTTTAAGGTTTTGACTTTATTATTTTTGTTATATAATGTTACCACTACACAACTACCATTTTGTAAAAAATCTTTGCATACTTTAGAATTTTGAATTTAATTAATATTCTCAGAGGTTGGTATAAGCAAATAAATATCTATGATTATTTCTCATCAGCGATTACTGATTTAAAAATTAGAACGCGTTCTAATAAGATAAAAATAAGAAATATTAACTGATTTTCCAGAAATTACGGACAGAAATAACTCAAGACTTTCTCTTCTTGAAACGGTATTATGAGTAATAGATTGTGGATATAATCTTGAACTCCATCGATTGTTGGAACTCTATTCAATCGCATTACGCAATAATATCTTTTCGATGTGTTGATAAAGTATCTGTTCATCAAATAATAAAATATATTATCTGATGTTACATTAAAGGAACATTTAGTTATAAGTAGGCCTTAAAAATCTAATAACAGTTTCAAAATAATCGGAAACATCAAGATTTTCGTTCTTAGAAAATGTGTTCAAAATTCTAATTTATTTATCTGCTTTCAAATTTCAGGAGCACATGTGAAGAATTTCAAGGGAATTTTTCAGGTGATATTCCATGATTTAAAAAAAAAAATATTTTATTAAATAGGTCATATTAGAGATTTAAACGATTTTCTATTCAAAATTAAACGCCATCGCTAATGTCTATAAAGAGCGGATAGTTCCAGCTAATTTTTTTTTCCACCGTTTTCACCACTTCCATGACAATTGAATAGACGTGAGAACCAGTCCCTCACCCGTACAGAACTAATTTAGCTTTCTCCTGTTAAGTTTCTGTTGTTCTTAGTGTACTTTTTATTTGTATTATTTGCTTTGATTAATAAACTTTCTAAGGGTAAGTCAAAAAAGATTCAATTTTATTATACTTATATTAATCACAACATTCAAATCAGTTTCGGAAAAGTTTTGATGGAAAAAAAAAGAATAATAATTCATGCTAGTTTCAAATATATATATATTTATGTATTATTAATCACCAAATAATTATTTGGTTTATTGAAGGGTTCTAACTGGAAAGCCTTAAGCAATTAAGTACAGCAGGCCACATTGCAAAGATCTCATTGGTCAGTTAGTAAACTATTAGTACAATATCATGTTTATATATCGTAACGTTTGTTTTATTGTTTATTGTATTTGATTATTATCATTATTGTTGAAATCAAATTTCTTATTTATTGGATTTATGAGGTATTGATGTTTATTTTTTGAAAACTCTATTTAAGCAAATGAAACAGTGAAGGAAGAAATTGCTAGAATGGATATATAAATATATAATAATACTGTAGATATATTATTTTTATATGTTCAAATTAAAAATATTTTATTGCTACTTCATTGCAATCATTTTTAATGATTATTATTCTAAATGTATATAGATCGATCTGTGAACATATATGAAAATACAGATGTTATTTCAATAATTTATTTACTTGTGCTTATCTTTTATTTTAAAATATTATATATTTGGTTTCTTAATTACATAATACTTCGTACTAGGACTAAAACTTCGTTATGTATTGCAGTAGGTTTCATATTATTATATGACATGAAATAATCTTTAAAATAAAAGTATAAAAGTGCATTGGTTTTTTTTTTAATTTATAATTATTATTTCTATTAATTTTCTTTATATTAAAACAACTAATACCGATTTTTCACTTAAGTTTACCCTATTTCAAGCAATTAGGATATTTTTAAAGCAAAGAGTCATTAAAAAAAAAATTAGCTTAAATTAGAATGAAGTAGAAGAAGACCTTAACAAAATAATACCGATTGTAGATATATTTTGTTTAATATATTTATAATTAAATTTAATGGAATATATTTCCTTTAATAACATTATATTATTTATTCATCGATAAAGAAATTAATTACTAAGTAATTATGATTAAGCATCATGGGCTTCTAATTTATTAAAATTACTTCCCTAAAATATTCATAAGGAACAATCATATAATTATTCCACTAAAGGATTAAAAGAATTTTGAAGAATTACGTAAAATAATTAAGTGAGATTAAATTAAAAAGCACCGGAATAACTGTGACGTTATATTTCCAAGTCATGTCTTGACGTTCCTGTAACGTTGCTTCCTGTCTCAAAGCCTTTACATATTCAGTACTCGTGGGGCACACGGATTAACATACTTGAACTCTACGTTAAAGCAATAGATATCATTGATTTTACGTTTTTTTTTAAATAAAAAATTACTCAAATTTAGGATATTCGTTTATAATTTAAAAAATAATATCTATAAAATTAATAGTCCGCTGTACAGACCCCATTTTATCAAATTATTCGTGTACGACTTCGTGAATGGTTTCGTCTCACTGTTACATGCAACTTTTTTATTTACGAAAATTATCGGAAATGGGGCGTTTTCAATATCAAGATCGGGAAACTTTGAATATTTAACGGATTACTAAAAACTGGTGACAACACATTGTAAAATCCACTTAAATTGTAAAATAATTAGATCAAAAAATCGAGGGAAAAAAAACTCCCTCCACAATATGTCAAAATAACGAGGTTATATAGGCCATATGGCCCAGTCACTTTTTTTTCTCGATTTTTTGATGAAATTATCTTACGATTCAAGTGGAAAGCAAAGGAGTATTCATATATTTTTTAATACCTCATTGAATCAATTCATTTAAATAGAATATGCTTCATATCTGAGAATTTTCTAAGATAAAAGGTTTTAAGTTTTATTCCGGACTATAGATGAAAGACTAAATTATTAAAAAAAAAATTATTATTCCCTTAAGCATTGAGGATTCACGATATGTTTTCTTATATCTATATAATGAGACTCTACCAAACAATCGAAATCCACCAGCATCTCTATACGAACAACCGTCTTACGTCAAATCCTCTATAGATATTATTATTTAACAAGAGAGAAATACAACAACATTGCACGACTGCTCAAATATGTTGAGTAGCTAAATAACACAGCATACTCACCAATCAATAGATAATAGTGTAAACAAATATACGAGAGAGTTAGGTCGGACCATTAGAATACATATCAGACATGCCAAGAACGGTTCATGGAATCAAAGAAGTGAAGGCTTAGATCAATATATGTGATGATGGAGGATTCCCAACGAGTCCAAAATAATATTTTCTACCATGGTCTGCATCTGCTCTCTTCCAACACAAACCTCTGCAAGGAACTACTTGTACTAAGAGGGATAGTCCCCCTGCTTCCAAACCATAGCCCTTTAACTGAGAACTGTACTTTTCCTTCAGGTAAGGTATGCATTTCGTATAAATTTCCTCTTTCTCTGCCTGTACCTTGAAGTCCTGATCCTGATCGTTATACATCTAACATTCCCGGAAATTGCAAAAGTTTTGTTCAGAATGGAACGGAACTCACCTGAAGCTCAGGAGGTCCTCCTTCATCCCTGATGAGGAGGAGGTGGGAGTGACCGTCCATGAGGACTTCTTTCTTGAACCTCCCTCCTTCGGGAGACTCCTCCTGCATGTAGGAGCCGGTCAGGTACCTATGGACGAGTGCCGATTTGCCGGAGCTCACGGATCCGACGATCCCAAGCCGTAAGTCAGGTACGGATCGTGCTACCGTCCACTCTTGGCTGTTGACGAAAGAATCTAAAACATAATAAAAACAAAAATTAGACAAATGACATGCAAAGAAACAAGATTTTTTCATACAAAGATAATAAAACAAAGCCTCTTAAATAAGGTCTCTTTGCACAAAGTACAAAAGTTTTACAAGTAAAAAACTTCGCAAATTATTAAAGAATGATATATTATTTCAAAACTATTATATATATATATATATATATATATATATCAAAAGTAAAATTACTTTTATTACAACACAAGGAAAAATAAATAAAATATGATACTTAATATTGCTCTAAATATTTTTTTTATTTCATCATTAGTTGACGTAACACTTTCAGGTTATTAAAAACCAAAACAAGGGAAATAAACTATGCAGTAGAACATAAGAAAGATATTTTTTAAAAACATATCTTTGCATCAAATTGTCCGATTTCAACGATTTTTTTTTTTTATATTTTAGAAAATCTTGTAAACTTTTAATTGACTTAGACAACATCGACAAAAAGTGTATACTTTTTTAGTTATTCAGAAATATAATTTTATGATCCCTACTAACATTCTAGCTCATTTTCGTTGAAGTATGTTAAATAAATAAACTTTAAGGGTTTCGAAAGAGAAGACTTAATCCAAGTTTCATTGAAATTGGCACAATAATTCAGGCCCTACGATCTATACGACACAGGTCTTTCGGCCGCCATCTTGAACGTGAAATACTTTTCGGTGAAGTATGTTCTATACATATATTTAAAGGGCATCGAGGAGAAGAATTTAGCCAAGTTTCATTGAAATCGGTAGATTCGTTTTGGCACTACAGTCTATAGCAACAATTTTAGCATTAGTTTTTTATTACGAAAATAATTAACCGATTTTGCATCAAACGACTCATAGCTGTTCAAACTTACAATGGATATAATGTAAATATTTTTTAAAATGTCTGTTGTGGCTAATATATTCATTGCCGAAGTGAACCAGGTCTCTGGTATTATTTTTTTTTTAATTGATGGCAATAGCTATCTTTCATCTTGACAATATGTCATTAAATTTCATAGCAGAAGTTGATCAAACCATTTTAATTACTGTTTTTAAATTATTAAATTATGATCCATATTTAATTTAGTATACGACAATAGAAAGAAACATCTAAAACAATAGAGTTAGTAACCTTTAACCTTGATGGTGTCAAATTTATAATATATGGACTGATCCATTTTAGCTCTGCAGGCCTATGTTAAACTGCCTTGGAATGAAGTACTATCTATATTCGGTTGTTCCTTTTAATTTTGTTGATATGAGACGCGTGGTTTCTGATCTGCAGGAGAACTTATCTTTTTCTGTCCTAGTCATGACTGAATTCGGTAGTTAAAAGGAAAAAAATACTTTAATTTGAGCAGTTCTTGAGATACTTAAAGCTTTGTTTTTTCCAATAATGTTCTAACAATAATCGTTGTCACTTTTTATTGTTTTTTAGTTTCGATAGGCACTACATGAGTATTAATTAAATATTTAGCATATAACATTTAAATAGTAATGGTTTGGTAGTAAATTTATTTAACTGAAAACAAAAAACAAAGCAATAAAAGAATTAATTAAGAAAACTAAATTCTTAAAAATCTCTTTTGACACTAATGACATTTGTTTTTTAGAAAGATAGTGAGGTGTAATACGGTGAAATAAATATGCAATCAGATGATGCACGATTGTGTATCTTGATAACGCTTTATGAACATAACACATCCATAACATGAACAGTTTATGACGATAAAATTATTCGACCCAGATATGGGTTTTCCAAGACCTAGTAACTTCAGGGAACTTATCTTACATAATGATAAGGCAGTTGGGTAAATGGAGCATTCCTAACTGATAAAAAATTCATGAATCAGAGAAATCACGAGATACTTATCAACCCTTACTGAAAGTAAAAGTACTCATTTGTACAACGTTTTACATATCTTATGATGTTTCCGTATTTACAGAAAATTAGAAACCAGTCAAATATAATGTTGCATTCATTTATTAGAATATTGATGGTATTGCACATTTTTACGTTGCAACTTAAAAACCTTGATATTGGAAATTTACAGTTTTAAAATAAAAATGATTAAAGCAGAATAAAAAAAAATACTGAAAGAGAAGAGAAGAGAAGAAACAAATCAACTGTAGAAGTAATCTAGACTTTCAATGAGAAAAGAAAAAAACACAGACCTGCCAACAAACGTAATACAATATATATATATATATATATATATATATATATATATATATATATATATATATATATATATATATATATATATATATATATATATATATAATGATACCTAGGAATGTCCTTAACTGGATATAGGAAAAATAGAGAAAAGTAGTGGAGAGATTGCATGGCTTAAGACAGGCTAAGCAATCAATAAAAAATTCTTCCACTTCTAGAACCAAGTGGCTGCTTGGCCTAAAAAGAAGCCATTGCTCAATGGAGCACTCATAGGCTATTTCATACTCAGAAGACATAAGATTTATGGAGTGGTAGTTGAAGAAGCCTACCAATGTGAAGAAGCACCAGAACTCTTTTATTTTATTTATTTTGGTTGTCCAAACGTCGCCATTTCTGGAATACGGTTGTTTTAGATGTACAACCAAACCTATTTTAACCAGAGCGATAATGTTGAGATTCATTCCGTCTATCACCAAGAAATAAATCTCGACGAGTATAGCTAGATCAAGTATTGGCTGGAGAATGTTAAAAGTTTAAGACGTAAAACGCTAGACCTTCACGACTACAGTAGCTTGTGACCGATAAACGTCACTAAGATTTATTTATTTATTTATCTTATTGAACTGAGATAGAATTCAGAATCAAAAGAATTTCTGACTTAAAAAGGCCGTCTTATGGATTGCATTTAAATTTTCTCTCCTTATTTATGGTTAGCTGGAGTAAGCAAAAAGCACCAAGATGTCCACTTACCGAACTTGACCTCCAGTTCTAATACCAAATTCCAATAACAATACCAAGTTCCAAGAAGCTAACCCACTATATAATTGGCGTACCAATTATACCATTTGTAAATCTCATTTACTTTTAGTCACAGAAAAGTGTGGTGCTCGGATTTCTTCGGTCCTCAATTACGATCTCTTATTTCTCCTTTAGTTAATAATCTATTCTATAGTTGGAGGAAGAAGCCTGGCTAGGGGTTTCCAGCCTAATTGTACATAGGTATGACTGAGTTTCTTAATTTACTTATCTTTAGGTTATTTTATTTTTTTACTGTAGATAGTTTTTGATTATTATTTTACTTTTGTTAATTTTACATTTTATGTATATATGGTGTGAATGTGTTCATATATTGCTATAATTATTGTCCACGTGACTCTTTGTTATATTTCTAATTAAATAAATAAACAAAAAATTAATAATCGAATTCTTTCATATTTTAAATTAAATTATTTTTTATATCATAGTGAAAAGATTTATTAATTCAAATTAAAAAAAAAATAAAAGTACTTTGTAGGAAGAAATTTTTAATTTAGGTATTCAAGGTTAAAGAACATCAATAAGAATAAGACCTACATTATATTGAAAAATACTTTATTTTACAATATCAATGGTTAGCGCCATTATCAAGAAAATTGTAAAAATGTGTAAAATCGATAATATAATCCGGTGAGTCGGTTTTGACGAAAAAGTTGCTCTTACATCCCAGACATATGTTAAACTTAAATACGCATTTTCAGTTTTGTACGATTTTTCCGTTTTAGAGCAAGTGTTTACGCAAACACAAACAGACCACTTTGCGATACTAAGTATGTTATTTTGACCCAAGGAACCTCAAAGCGTGTACTTCCGTAGAACAATATGAAGATTTTCATGATCGCAATACATTCCCATACTATATATTTCATACATAAGTAAGTGAAAGTAAAATAATAAAAAATAAAAATAATTAGAAAATAGAAGAAATTAACCTAACTATTGGATGGCAACCGTAATTCATGATGGTAATGAAGATTAATTTACAAAAGAAAACAGAAGAATTCGTGATATGGTATCAATGGTATCCATTGATCCAGTATCTATTGATGACATCCTTCCAGAGAAAGGACCAGGACAAGAAACGTAGGAGGCGGAAGTGATGGGACCGGAAACCGCAGAACCTCGCTTCCTCCGCCTCGTCATATCCTCCCCTCCTTTGCGTTCCACGACCAGCTGGATAGTTGTCCCCTAGGATGGGCCTCCCACTGAATCAGACCAAGCGACACACCCTCAAAAGTTTTGGGGCGCAAGACGTTTAACAGTTTTATGAGGTCATGAAAAATTCACAACTGACTTCGATTCCTAATAAAAAAGATTCATTCTGGTTACGTTTAAGTTTTGTAGAAAAAAAAACACTAAATGGTATACATATACAAGAAGACGTAAACTGTTACCGCAATTCTTAAAAATACCTACAAGTGTGGAGAATAGCATCCAAAATAAGACCAATTTAACACATGGTTCAAATTGTTCTTCAATCTTCTTCTTCTAATATTTAAAGAAATATTTAATATTTAAAGAAATATATATATATATATATATATATATATATATATATATATATATATATATATATATATATATATACAATTGCTAAAAGAATAACATCGACTTTACCTACAATGTTGCAAATAAATCCTAATTCAAATTCTCACATTTCATGATGTTTAATTTTTATTTGTATCAAAAGAGAATACTAATGCAAACTTACCATTTTCTTTTATTAAATAAACCAGATATAATCCGTGGTACAGACCCCTTTTTATCGAATTATTAACATCCGCCTGAAACTTCGTAAATAGTTTCATCTCATCGTAACCTACAACTACTTTATTTACGAAAACTCTTGGCATTGATGCCTTTTCAATCTGGAGGGGGGCAAACTTTGTCTATTTAATTAGGTACTAAAAAACTCGTAAATACTCATTTTCTTTCTACTTGGATGGTAAGATAATTTGATCACAAAATCGAGAAAAAAGGTGACCTACAAAATATTTGGCCGTTTGTCCTATATAACATCGTTATTTTGAAAATTTGCGAGTGTAGGTCACGCCAAACCGCTCAATATTTTTGAAGGCTACATTTTTTCTCGATTTTGTGATCAAATTACGTTACGATCGAAGTAAAAAGCAAATGAGTATTTACGAGTTATTAATATCTGATTAGATAGACAAAGTTTGCCTCCCTCCAGAATAAAAACACTACAATATTCTTAAGAGTTTTCGTAAATAAAATAGTGTAGGTTACGATGAGATGAAACTATTCACAGTTTCAGGCAGACGTTAATAATTCGATAAAAAGGGGTCTGTACCACGGACAATATAAGCCAGCTACTGCTTTGACAGTGATAAAAACATACACGGTCACGTAGGAATCGGACACCATAGACATAGCATAGGTCATAGCATAGCATTTCAATCATTATCAATCCATTGATTTTTGAAATGTTTGCCTTAAACAGTGATAATTCAGCAGGTTTTTTTTTTTTCACAAAAAACTCCATTATGGGAATTTATTATTACTGTATAAAGTGATCAACTAAATATTTACCATCCTACGTATTTACCTTTCCATGAAAATGAATTAATCAATTATATGGTTCGGATGTTTTTAGATAATGGAACACGGTTTATAGGAAATTTTTTGTAGTTAGTAAGGTCTACTATCGCCTTTAAAATTTAATTTACGAACTAATTTGAATATTAACATTTAATTTAAAATAATTCATAAATCTTGATGAGAAGGTTTAATGGGATTTAGATCTCATTTGTACAAACTCTAGTACAAAATACTCTAGTAAGAAATCGAGTGTACTCCATAGACAGCAATTAATGTTTTTTTTTTTAATATTTATAATCATTACTATCAACGTCAATAAATACGGGAAAGACCGGACATGGTTTCAAAAAGTCCGGCGAAAGTTAATTCGACATTCGAGTTCTAATTTTAATTAACCCGATGCTAAAAAGCTCCTTTCTCAAGAACCATAAAACATTATTATCCACTATTCCGTTTTGATAACCCTAATTTACCAAAGCATGAATAATAAGAAACATATGTTACTCTTAATATTTGAATAAATTAGCAATAATGAGAACAGATGCCGGCTTAGCGTCCGGAAAAAGGATTACGCAGGTGAAGCTCGAATAGGCGTCAATTACAATTTCAGTTATGTTATCGACAATGGAAGGATAATGAAGTTTCTTATATATTTTGCGATCGAAAAGACTTTATGTATTTATTCGAGTCCTTTCAAAAATAATTTGGTGATCGTTCATAATTGATAAGTAATTATTCGGTAAGTCAATAAAAATCTATGTAAATTTATGCATTAGACGATTAAGTGATGTGACGTCTTGTTGAAGGATGTCTCATTACACTAAGTGGACAACGTCAGTCGAGAAAAATCGTTAAAGAAAAAAAGATGAGCGTTGAAATAATTTACATTTTATTATTATATTTGAAAATATAATAATAAAATAGGTGTCGTATTTAAATAAATGAAATTTAAAATTTTTATTCCACGGTATTATAGAAACGTACGATACATTTTAAACGTTATAATAATGTGGGTAGCTTTTGTGCTGAAGCCACCTCCCTCCCAAATGGAAAAATATTTTTTTGTTATTGGTCCATATATGGCATATTATCCCTATACAAAGCCAAATAACTAAATAATCAAAATATGCCCTCTTTTCTAATTATAACGCATGTTTTAACTTCTAAATGTAGCAAATGCCAAAGAAAGAATATATAAAATATTTATTAAGGAAGGAGATGGTCCGGGGTTGCGGTCATAAATAGGCTAAATAGTGGTAAAACTATTTAGCCTATGTATGACCGCAACCCCGGACCATTTCTTTCCTTTATAATGCAACGATCAACTATTAAATATTCAATAAAATATTTATTTCTAAAAGTAGTATTATTGTTTCTGCAAACAGATTTATTTCTTTAACTGGCTTTCAAAGATCATTTAAACATTATTTTATTTAGTTTGTTTTCAGAGTAATTACCATTACAAACAAATTAATAAAAAAAAAAAAAGTAAATCCTAAACTTAAATCCGCTCCTGCTTAACACAACAATAAAGGTCTCTGTAGTAAGCAAAAGACTACTTGGAGGTCCAAAAAGCAGATGGATAGATTGAATCAACAAAGATGCAACATTGCTGCATGCAGATAACTGGAAATAAATAGCTCAAGAAAGGCAGAGATGGAATAGGTTCATTAAAGCGGCAAGATATTTACAAGGTCTGTTAAATCAACAGAAAAAAAAAATTAGGTTCGTTTCTTTAAAAAAAATATAGAATTCCTGAAAAATCAATTGGGTTCACTCTATTACGACACCATACAAGTTTGCATATAAATATTTTTAAAGTTATGGAAATAGTTGATCGTGATCTTAATTTAAGAAGAAGTTGGTCGCGGGTACGGTCAATAGACACATACTACATATTATAGTAGCGTTATTTTGCCAACGTTTCGACCTACGTTGTAAGGTCTTCGTCAGGGCATTGCAGGAAGAAGCTAAGAAACTGAAATTAAAATAAGCGCTATTGTAATACATAACCCTTGATCGCACCGCTGACCAAATTCTCCGGAGAATAAACATTTTTACTTTCGGAATGGATCCACGATACGTGAGTAAAGAACAAGAGGAGGATTTGGATGATACTATCCACTTAGCTGGGAGTGAACAGGTTAACTTCAAAGCGAGCCGGGGCAAAACACAGCGGGACAAGTCCACCCACTCAAGAGGCGACCGATGTGGGTGTAGGGAACATCTGGTCGTGCTGCACCAGGCGTCATGGGAGACAACACGTGTCTCCGTCAGGTGGATGTGAGGGTTCGTCGGAAGTGCTAGGTGTGCGTATACACCACATACATGTTATTATAGTATTATCCAGTTTGGAAAAGTTATAATTAAATCCAAACTTAAGAACTTGATTTCACTCAGGAGTGGAGATTCTAAGTAATAAACTGTCATAAAATTTTCAATTATTTTTAATATGGAACTAAAAATTTAAATGATTGTTTTAACGGAGACAACATTTTGTTATACAAAAAAAAAAAAAAAAAAAAATAGTGCTTTTAAATATTTGTACTTGGATACATCGACAGATATTAACACAGTATCAACGAGTTTCATAATATGCTAACATAGTTGTTTTAGTAAACAAACCAAACCAAATTGTATCGAATATTACAGTTTTTTTTTTTTCTATTCAAGTTGAAACTCAGTTATTCACATAATGAAACGCATAAAACTATATTTTTCATTCCAATTGTAATATCAAAACCAATATTAAAATATATATATGAAATTATCTATTTGAGCCTTTCAATTGACAGAATGACTAACTCCAGTTTCAATAGTTTTGATTATTACTTTCAGTGATATTTCTAGCGGGATAATTCATACCTTTATTCACAGTTCTATATTTCAACACTGCAATCACCTGCTCTGGAATCAACTTGCTCATTGTATGTAAAGATATAATTTTTCCAACGAGAAATGACTTTATTCAAAAAAGTTGAAATTGGAGTTAGTCATTCTGTCAACTGAAATGCTCATTTGTAAACACAAAACTTACCTATCACACCTATGAATATCACACACGTACATATAAAAATATAGTTACAGATCGACAATGGCATGTTTACACGTTTGTACAAATAGGCAATAAAATAAAAAAATCTGTCTCCATCGTCCGCGACATTTACCCAATAATACTAGACCGATTGTTTAGAGAATTGGTATTAATGTCAAAGGGCACCCGAGGCTGACCATCGCCATTATCATCCGTTTTAATATGAGCTTTTGAAAATAATGAGAAAGACAAAAAATAAAAATATGTAGACATAAATGTGAAAGATAAATAATTCAAGAGATAGAGAAATAATTGATGTTTACATGAATTAAATGATGGGGTTTTACGAATGGATAAGGAATTTACAAGTTTGCGGTTTGGGATCTTGTCTTAAATAGTATACACCAAACAAATTGTGGAAGTAAGGAGGATATTAGGTTCGAACTATGGAAGTATTGCGTCGGAAAAAAAAAAACGGATGAAGTAACTCGGCATACCAACTCAAGACGTGGGAGCACCTGACACTCAGGAGATAAATCTAACGAAACAATTCATTAGTCTCTTCGATCTCATCTAGGGAGAATGAGGAAGGAGAGTAGGAGCTGGTGGTAAGTATTTAGGAGCTGGAAGATATGCTGATAATTATAAAATAGATATCATTAAAATAATAGTGTAATAAAAATAAACATATACAGCGTGTCCCCTAAATGGAGGGAGATATTTAAAAGGTTGATAGAAGACATGATCTACAAAAAAGTCCATATAAAAAATTGACCGATTTTCAGCAGACAAGTAAGAGATTAATTTTTTTTTTTTTTAAGCAAGTCACATTTTTAGTTGAATAGAAAGTGATAACATAAAAAAAAAAAATATATATTTAAGTAATTAAATATTGCTCCATAGTTAACTAGATAAAATTTACTTTAAATGAAAATAGAGTTTGTCATTAATAAAACTATTTAAATATGACTTTTGAACGGCTAAACTAAGCTAAGTTCCGTTAAAAAAAAATCATAAATTATTTGTGATATTTTTTTATAACCCTTAAACTGTACTACATTTATCCCACTTTTGAAAAAAAAAATTAAAATTCACCTCAAGTTGTGTAAAGAAATTATGTTCTATTCAGTCACATAAAAGTACCAGTGTGTTCAGTATAAATGATTAAAATTTACTGTTGAAAAGCTTTTATTTCTTGTTTTCCCGTGAAATGGAATGTAATAAACATACCTGATTAAAAACAAATTTTAGTTATAAAAAATAAAAAGTTTAGAAATAATGATTTTTCAAATATTTTTCATGTAAGATTGTTTCGAAACTGTACATATGATTTGATATGTATTTATCAATGACAAACTAAATCATTCTAGCCCTAATATTTACGTTTTCATAAGAATAATTTAAGCAATCAGTAGATTTCTTTATTCTAAACGTAAATTTTAGTTGTTTGGCAAGTAGTTTTGTGAAGTTTTTCATAGATAAATACATAGCAATTTATATGACGGGGATTTGAGAGAAAAACACACTTTCAAAACAACATGACAAGAAAAATATTAGAAAAACCACTGTTTCTATTTTTTTTTTTTTTTTTTATATAAATAAAATGTATTTTTTGGAAATTATGTCAATTACAATATTTCCAATATCACGGAAAAACGAAAGAAAAGCTTTGCGACTGTAGTATAGTTTGAAGGTGATTATAGTTTATAGAAGGTGTAGTATAGTTTGAAAAAAAAAATCGCAAATAATAAATGATTTTTTAAACAGAACTTAGCTAAGTTAGGCCGTCAAAAAGTCCTCTTTAAATGGTTTTAACAATGACAAACTCTAATTTCCATTAAATTCATTTTTTTTTCAGTTTATTATGAAGCAATATTTACTTAATTAAATAAAATATATATATTTTTTTGGTAATTATGTCTATTAAAATATTTCCAATATCACGGAAAAACGAAAGAAAAGCTTTGCGACTGTAGTATAGTTTGAAGGTGATGAAAAAAAAAAATCACAAATAATAAATGGTTTCTTTAAACAGAACTTAGCTAAGTTAGGCCGTTAAAAATTCCTCTTAAAATGGTTTTAACAATGACAGACTCTGATTTCGATTAAATTCAATTTTGTCCAGTTTATCATGGAGAAATATTTAGTTACTTAAATAAAATATTTTTTTTGTTGCCAATTACGTCTATTACAATATTTCCAATATCACGGAAAAACGAAAGAAAAGCTTTGCAACTGTAGTATAGTTTAAAGGTGATGAAAAAAAAAAAAATCGCAAATAATAAATGAATTTTTTAAACGGAACTCAGCTAAGTTTAGCCGTTAAAAAGTCCTGTTTACATGGTTTTAACAATGACAAACTCTACTTTAATTTAAATTAAATTTTATTAAGTTTATTAAGGAGGAATATTTAGTTACTAAAATAAAATATTTTTTATGTTATCGCATCCTAAAAAAAAGTGACGCTTAAAAAAACATAATTCTTCAATTTCCTACGTTTTTGCTGGAAATTGGGTAATTGTTTATATGAATTTTTTTGTAGATCTTGATGTCTACTTTAACCTTTTTAATATCTCCCTCTACTTACGGAACACCCTGTATATATTTTGGACATCTCCACAACCCCTCCCCCCCCCCCAAGCAACAAGTAGATGCCCAGCTCCTCCATCGATCACACTTCTAGCACTCCTAACAACCCAGATGTCACCTCAGCCCATACATCGCCTCCCCTCTCCTTACCCACCTTTCTGACCTCAATGGTAATCCGAAGCAGCCCCAACTAATATAGAGGAGTGAAAAAAACTACTTAAGAAAAAATTAAAATGAGGAATGGCCAAAAGATAATGGAGTAGAAGTGTCGGATGAATAGGTGGGAAGACGGATTGCCGTACGTTAGAACATTAGAAAGAAAGGATCGTGACAGTGTAACCAGCGATAAATAAAATTGTGGGGTCGTAGATCAGGTAAGGAGGGGATCCAAGAATGGAGGGCACTAGCACATTTATCTATCAGCTATTGTTAGCGATAACGCGGTCTCTAACCATAACCAAATATATATTATCGCAGTCGTAATAACAGTTACCCAGCCATGGAATAGTAACAGTTCTTAGGCGTAGGGATTAAAGTGCATTTTAAAATTACAATATAAATAACTATTTATCTAGTTCCTCCATTCTTCTACCAGATGCATTCGTCGTATAAGCGACATCAGCATAAATAGTGTTACCCAAACGCGAGACCAAGACGAGTCTTGCGCACTCAGTCTTGGTCTTGCAGATATGTATTAAGTTATTACTATAGAGATATTACTGTAAGTTTTCAGATAGAAGAAACCTAGCCCGAATGAAAAAAATTGGTGCGGTACGCGCATCACACGACTTTCACTTACCATCTTAGCAGAAATAAGTATTTTCAGACAAAGGGGAAGTGAAAGTAAAAAGATGCTATATTTATTTTTATTTCACTGTGGGTATTTTTTATTTGTATAAGTATCCTTATATATATACAAAATTTAATATTTAATGTTCAATCTCGAAAACAGGATATATTCAGAATTTAAAACGCCTGACCCTTTAGAACTTTACAGTGCTCTAACCGTATTGAAATCATAAAAAAAAAAAGAAAAAAAGATTTCACCTTGATTCATTAACTCTGAATTTTGAAACCTCCTCTTATTGTAAATATGATAGGTTTTCATAAACTAGCAAGATTTTTGTCATCCAAGCTAAATATTATTTAAATATTATTATTATGTGTTAACTACTTTTCAAAGTGGATGCCTTAACCATTCGTCCAAACCTAGCGGAAAAATGTATTAACTATCTTACTTTGTTCGATAAACTTAACCATGTAAAAAGGTCTCTCAAGTCTTTGGAGATCTCCTCTGCTTGTTAAAAATTAAACTACTTAACTACAATTTCTTGACAAAAGTCGATCAAGAAACTTGACCGTGTAAAACGGCCTTTAGAAAACACTATAAGGTCAATCGGATTGAGGTAAACTAACCTCGAATGGTATAAGGACATAACAGAGAAAAATATTTTACAACTCAATGACGCTGAACCACAAGGGAAGAGGATGTATGTGGATGTGTGCAACCAACAATAACATAAACATGCTTCTGTTTGTAAAGTGGTTCTAATCACTAACGGATTCAGGAATTAATTTTGGAGGTGGGCTACAGCCTGAATGATTTTTAAAAAATATTTATAATACGAT